ACCAACTTTGTACGTCTGCAGTCGGAGGAAAACTTTAAGTCGGAGGAGGCCGAACAAGGTTGAGAATCATGGTGAGAAGCAAGGGAGCAGGGAGCAGGGAGCAGGGAGCAGGGAGCAGGGAGCAGGGAGCAGGGAGCAGGGAGCAGGGAGCAGGGAGCAGGGAGCAGGGAGCAGGGAGCAGGGAGTAGGAAGAGCGACATACAGACAGACATACTCAGAGTGAGAGACAGAGAGACAGAGTGAGGGGAGGTGAGAGAGGAGGGGGTTGAAGGGGAGGTTGGGGAGGAGGAGGGAGGGAGAGGGAGGGGGCAAGGAGGATGAGAGCTAATGTCGGATAGAAAGCAGCAGGAGGGAGGGGCAGGGCGGGGGAGGGGTCAGGGCGGGGGAGCAGGAGAAGGGGAGAGGGGGAAAGGGGGGGTGGTCAAGTGTCAGAGCAAGCGGAGTCAGCAAACAGCAAGATGAGGTATGCAACGTTGTTGATGCAGTAAATCACGATGAATGTTTTCATACAATCCACTCTGCACTGAGCTGAAAGACGCGGGAATGTTAGTAGGGATTTGAGATGTAAACTTGAAAGGGTTTTTACTAGCAAGGAACGGAAGTGACTAGCTCAATGTTATGCGTTCCCAGCAACTGGCACATCTGCCGACTCCGTGATTGGCAAAGCGTCTGCTGCTCCTGCTGCTCCTACTGCTCCTACTGCTCCTGCTCCCGCGTTCTCCGTCGCGACCGGATCTTCTAGCGGCTGAGCAGCACCGTCGAACTCACTCGTTACTGGTGCTCGAGCCTGTTCCTGCGGCTCCGTCTTCTGAAGCTCCGAAAGCAGCCCTTGTGCGCATCTGTTGCCATGTAAGGGGGATAGATTGAAGAAGAGGGAGGTCCAAAGCTGGATGGGGGAGGAGGAGAGAGGGAGGGAAGAAGCAAGCGATGGAAGAAGGCAAAGAAGGGAGATGAGGAAGAGAAAGGGAGATAAATAGTGATGAGAAGATGAAGAGAGGTTCTAACTAGAGATCAGTTTGACTGAAAGATTCGTAACTGACCTCTTAATCTCATCGGAGAGGTTGGGGTTGTTGACCAGCTCCTCGATCACTTTCAGCCCGTTGGCCAGTACCGCCGATTTGTTCGCGTCGCACTTAGTACAGGCTTTCCATACAGCCCCAATCTGCCAGGAGCTTCAGGTCCACGCCCAACACTGGGAGATGGAGAGAGGGCTGTAGGGATCGAGACCAAGGCAGGAAGAGAGTGGGGGTGGTTACCGTGTACTCCAGCAGCTGCGGTTTGACTTCAGGACGCATCATCATCAGCAGGGGCTGGATGCCACCGCATCGGAACAGTTCCTGTGTGACGGTGAATTCACGGGAATGGTGCCATCCCCTCCAGCAAACCTCTCTGTTCTCCATCGAGTTGACGCAAAGGTTGCGGACGGCAGCAGCAGCACACTCCAGGAGCTCGGGGCACTCCCTGTTCCTCAGGATATCGACAAGCACTTGCATCGCCCCCGCGTGACGGGCTGCATTCTGGAGACGAGAGTCATGGTGCGCAAGGGATGACAAAGGGAATGATCTCCTACCTGGTTGTCAGGGCTGTTGGCACAGGCATTCGCCAGAGCAGCTCCTGCCTGCTCCCTTGCACGCGTCATTCCGTTCCGCAGGCACTCAACCTGTATCAGAGATTCACTGGCTGGCGTCACACCATGTTTGCAGCTACCAAGGCAGAGATTCCATTCACTCTGTTCAGTTCCCTCTTGTTCGGGGCGCTGTTGATACAAGCACTTCGCAGAGCTCCAGCAGCCTGCACCTTGGCAGCCGGGGAGCCAGTACGGAGAAGCTGAACCAACCCAGGGATGGCTTGCTTGACCTGCTCCTTGATCGACGGGTCGTTCACACATGACTTCCAGATAGCGCCAGCCGCCCTTTCTTGGGCAGCGTCTGTGCCAGTGCACAGAACCTGTACAAGGACAGGCATGCCTTGCTGTCGGATCAGATCGTTCTTGCACGCCTCGTTGTCCACCATCGCATTCCAAAGGGCAGTCGTGGCATTCTCTTGAGCCATAGGATCTCCGGTTTTGAGCAAGCCAAGCATGGGGGCAACTCCTCCCGCTTGCTGGAAGGCCTCGCGGTTTCCTTTGTTGTCGGCCATGGCGTTGGCGATCGCTGCTGCCGCTGCTTCTTTCACACGCGGGGCCCCACTCTGCAATAGACCAAGGAGTTTATCCAATCCACCACGGCGATTAAGCTCAGCTTGTCCAGACTTGACATTATCTCCTCTTCCCTCTTCGGTTGAGGACTCGTTTCCACTCGAACCTGTTCCGCGAGAGCCATCCGCATCCGACTCAGCATCGCCCGAAGCATCGGCCATGCTATCCGTCCTCTTCTTGATAATGTTAGCAAGGGCGTTGGCAGCATTCTCTTGTGCTTGCGAGCTCTTGGAGTCGAGCAAGTCAATCAGAGGAGCCATGGCGTTGGCCTTGAGGGCTTGATTCCTATTGTCTCTGTTGTCAGCACAGGCGGCAGCAATGGCAGCTGCCATTTTGCTTTGAACTTCAGTGGACCCATCCTTCAACAGCTTGACCATCTGAGGAACTCCACCAGCTTGTTTCAAGAGCTCTTGATTTGAAGGATTGTCTGTACACGCCTCGAACACAACCTGGGCAGCCTGTTTTTGCTGCTTCACATCTTGGCCTTGCATCATGTCCACCAGGTAGTCCATACCACCAGCTGCCAAGAACATAGGAGGAGGGTTCAGAGAGCCAACCTTGGGCCCACTGAGAATGGGAGCAGTCGGCATCGGAGGAGCCCAGGCAGGGGCAGCAGGGGGTCCCATATCGCCCGCCCTCACCATCAGGTTCGGGGGATAATTTTGGAGCTGTGGATCTCCGATCCTCTGCCTTTTTGCAATATGGTCGAAGCCAGCTGGCATACCCTGGTGCAAGACAAGTGTGAGTTCACGATCACACGAAAGAAACGGCGCAAGAGACTTGTAATAAGAATCGCGAAAGGATTACCTGTTGGCATTCCATTCCTGGCATTCCGCCCATTGCAAATGCTGGGACTTTCTGCGTATTTGATCTCTGCTGCGACACATTCCTTTGAATCGCCTCCAGTTGCACTACGACTTGATCCGTGCTTGGCCTTTCGTTCGGGTAATGCGACCAACATTCGTGCATGACCTGCACGTATCCCAAGGGAGCGCACAGCAAGTGCATGTTGTCCACGGGAGGACGTCCTGGTGGAGGCTTCTGGGTCTTGTTTGCCTCCTGCGTAACCTGGTGAATAATCTGCACGATGTCCATCCCTTTCCAAGGTATGGCGCCCGTAAGCACTTCCCACATGACGATACCAACGCTGTAAATGTCTACACGCATTCCCTGTGGCTGTGTGAGCATGACTTCGGGAGCCATGTACTGCGGAGTTCCCGTGATGGTCTTGGTTCCTGGTAGCACAGAAAGTGCGTCCAGCACTTTCGAGAGTCCAAAGTCGGCAACCTGGTGACGATGTTAGCGAGACCGCAAGGAGATGTGGAATCACGATAGTACTTTGACGCGCTGATCCGGCCCAACAAGCAAGTTCAAAGTCTTGAAGTCCCCGTGAATGAGTCCAGCATTATGCACTGCCCTCAGTCCATACATCGCATCGAGGAGGAATCGGAGCCGTGTGAACCAGTGTAGCCTTTGGTTATATTGCGCAAACGTTTCACCTCGCTCGCCATGCAAGATTTGAAACAGACTACCCCCTTGCACAAGCTCCATCACAATTCCAGGGGAAGGTTCCAGCATTCCATAACATCGTACTATACAAGGATGGTTGACAGCAGTCATCTTGCCAACTTCAATCTCGAATTCTATCAATGCTTTTTGATCCATCATGCTTCCATCCAACTTGTGCTTCTTGATCGCAACAGGATGTTGCTCATATTTCCCCTCGTATACATGACCAACAGATCCACTTCCAATCTTACGCCCTACTGTAACTTGAGCCTCGTTGATCCGAGGAGTAGGCTGGTGCAGTCTGGGCTGAGCTTGTCGCGTTTGAGACACGAGCTTGTCATCCCTGACCACGAGGTTGGGAATTCCACCGGCTGACATACTTTGAGCAGACGAGCTGCTCGACTGCGGAGCTTGTTTTGGCAGAGTAGACGACGAGCTGGCGTAGGTCGTTGTAGTAGAGGCACCAGGGGGCGAAGACATGTTCTTGTTCCCGCCCGTCATTGTCTGGATTCGCTTGAGAATGAAATGGCGATGGCCGAAGCTGGATATTCCAAGGCGAACGAGCTGATCGTCTGTCATGTCCACAAGAAGCTGACACGAAGTCAGACAGCCCACAGACTAGCATGTAAACAATACCTCCCCATCCACGTCATTCTCAATAATCAGCTGCTTGTAAGCATCGGTCCTCTCCCCGAATTTTCTTCTGCCACTTTCGATGAAGTTTGTGACATCATCAACAGTCCACTCGCCCTAGAAAGATCATGTGAGCTCTCCGTAGGCAATCGTGCAGAGCGAGAGAGGAAAGGCAACCAAGACTCACCAACGGGCGAGTAGGAGCGTTCATTGGGTATGAAGTAAGGTCCATCTTTGGTCAGAAATCAGACTGAGCTAGAAACGGAGACAGGTCAAAGATAAGGCCATGAATCTCTCCAGTGGAACCTTGCCAAGCCCGGCGCTCCGGGCCTTTGTGCAATCATGAACCAATCAATCTGATCTGCTCAGCCAGAGGTCACTCACAGGAAAGACGGCCATGCACACAACAACTTGAGGTGTGAAGAGGATAAACCAGCACACCATCACACAAGAGCTGGGCAGCAATGGTATCAAACAACATCCGGGGGGTATCGGGAATCAGTCACAGGACGGATTTTGGAGAAATTTGTGATGCTTTCAAGTGATGCGAAGTTTTTGAGTTTAAAGTGAGGGGACATTCAAGTTACATAGTCGAGCAACTTAAGACCTGTCCTAACCACTCTCTGATCACGATCCTCCGACCATCCCCTGTACTGCTCATCATTTCCTCCACTCCCTGCATCCCAGCCTTCAATAAGCGGTCGGGATCACAGGAGAGTGTTCGGGGATAGATGCAGAATTTTCACTGTTGCATGCAATGCATTCATGCGATTTCCTCGACATCCCTTCATCTTCCTCCTCATCCTCCTCATCCTCCTCTCTGCCGTCACTGGCAAAGCGCGCGGCATTCCGCCGCCTGGCTATCCTCTTCACCCCTCCTCCCCACTCGTACGCTAGCCTCCTCCAACCCCCAGATCCAAAATACCCCTCATATTCCCACTCTCCATACCCAATCACCTTGACTACCCCGTATTTTGACTTCTATAGCACCCCTTCAATGTCCAAGGGTGGTTAAGCCCCCCACCCCCTACCCCACCAATTCGAAATACTTTATTGCCACCCCCAGCATTTCCCCAATTTTGTGGGCCACCCCTACCCCCAAGAAACGACGATCTCAAGACCCACACCGGTGTGATTGTAAGGATTTCTCCTCCCGAAATAGGGGGTACGATGACTACCCACTCCTCCATTGGACAGTGTATGTACCCCACTTTCATCTATCTTGAGCACCCCTCCCTTCCTAAACAGCCCCTGGGTCCCCCCACCCTCCCATTTGTAGGAGAAATGCAGGGTGATGTGAAAGAAACCTGAAATGCTTTTTAAAACATTTTTCTCTGAATACCATTCAGGTACACTATATCAGTAAAACGATGTATTAATAACATTATAAAAACTATTTTTATATGTTCAGTACCCAGAGATGCGGCCTTCATTTTTAAATGTTCCCGCTACAATCTGTTATTATTATTCAGCGAAGTCTTGCGCAGTGCTGCCGTTACATAACCGTTATGGGGACTCCGGGCCGCCGGGTCCGACGGGCTGATCGACACGACCCTCGCACGCTGGCCCGGTCAACTCCCAGAGGGTAGGGTGGGTCACAGAGATGGTCAAAGGACGGGTGCTGTTTACTTTACATCAATATACACAGTACAAATGGTGGGGTACCAGAGTATGAAAATGGGGGTACCAATGCTGCTTCTTGTAAGAGTAGGGGTAGGTGCTGCTATCTTTCCTCCAGGGTTCCAATTGACAGGGATGAATTGGCTGGAGCGGGGGTAGGGTGTTTGAATGCCCAGGGGTAGTATTGCCTGGTTTTTTGTGGGTGGTGATCGCTGTCCTGTAGTCAGCAAGCGGGGGATCAGGTAGCAAGGGGGGTGATCGGGTCCTAGTACTGCTATGACCTGTATTGTAGGACAAGCGGGATCTGGGGTGGACATGCCGACAACCGGCGGAACCCGTTGCTTCATGGGCAGAGGAGGAGAAAGATTGTGGGTTGAAGGGAGTGTAGAATGCTGGAAGAAGGAATCCATGGATATACGATGCTGAATTCAAACTTGTTAATGTCACGTCTGAGAATGGTAGGAGGATGGCTGTTTGTATAGTTGAGCGGCGGTGACGGGCATGCAACATGGGGAGGAAGGAAGCTGTAGAGGAAAGCTGGCGGGACTCTATGTTCTTTGCGCGCATGTCATCTGTCTAAATCTTGTTCTCAATGGCTGAACTTGTTTATCATGGTTGGTCTTGAGAGTGGACGCTTTCGATAGAGAGCATAACGGAAAATTCGAATCCTGAGTGTAATGCTTGCTCAGACGACTGCAAGGAAATGGATCTTTGTGATGACATCTAACGGTCTTGATCTGCAGGCTTCGAAGCCTTGCTGCTGCACAACAAGGTGATGTAGCTCAGCATCTGCACATTCGGATCTCATGTGGTGGTTGGGATGCGAACGATGAACCCGTAAAAGGTCTGAGGTGTCGTCGGCATGGCCTCCCTGCATGCGGCAGCTCTTGTGTGTAGCAGTGCGAGACATCTCATGTGAGCAAGTGCAGCATCGCATGCCAACCCTGTTGCTTGAAATCTTCTCGTGCATCTTGAGGTCAATGATGCAGTGGGGTAAGGCCGAGCATAGATTTTCTCACCATTACACGCCGACCCATCGTAGAGCAAGGGTGGGTAGGAAAGGCTGGTGTAAAAGAGCTCGCAAGGGCTCATGAATAGGAGAGAGCGTGTCCTATCCCTCGCTCACTCAGCATCGCATGCATGAGGGCAACGGACATAAGGAGCTCTGTTGACATGCGCGCTGTTGCCTGTCCTCTGAGACGCGCTCTAGACAGAAGGGATGCCTGCCTGCATAGACTGCTGCTGTCACTCCGCATGATCACACATTCAGATACTACTGACGCATCTCCACCACCATGAAATCTCTTGAAGGATCGAGTTTGTTGCTGGTGACGCTAGTGAGAAAGCAGGAAGGCGGTGGTGACGTGGATGAGTTCGGTGCCTGTGGAGTACTAGCGGAGCAAATGGGAAACTGTTTTTCATCGTATCAAGCAAACCTTGTAACCTCGTCCCCTCTTGTGCGGTGATGAATATGTTGACATGGCGTCTCTCAGAACAAGAAGCCTACTTGCTCCAACGTATGGGAGGTTTGAGAGCACTGCAATGGTTGTGCGGATTTTGCTGATGCCGGCTCAGGTGTATGATGGGATGTACATCAGTGGGCTGGAAGGAGCGTGCGAGACTGCATGCCTGAAGCAGCTCGGCGTCTCGCACGTGCTGAACTTGGTGAAAATGATGATGAGTGGGCAACTCTCTCGCTGACAACTTTACCAGCTCGGCTGGGGAGCATACAGGCCTGAGCTTGGAGGCCGGAGCGAAGCATATGCTCCCGATGACTTTGTTTACAAAGTTATCTACTCTCACGACATGCCCGAAGAGGTGAAAGGATAGAGAGGAGGAGGAGGGTAGAGGATCGGACCAGCTCATCTCTTACGATTGTTTGCAGAACCTTTCGAGATTCTTCGCCGAGACGTCAAAGTTCATCGATGAGGGGAGAAAGTGAGCAAACTCTGCTTCTAGCATCCCACCTTGCATCCTACCCTTCCTCCCCTCTGCTTTTCTCCTCTCCACTCCTGCACGCAGAACTCTTACACAGTATCTTACGATCAGAGCCGGCGGCGTGCTGGTTCACTGCTTCGCTGGGATCCCCCGCAGCTCCACCTGCATCTGCGCCTACTTGATGGAGTACCAGGCCATGACGCTCGTCAACGCGCTGAAGCAAGTGAGAACGGGAAGGCCCATCGCAAACCCCAACACAGGCTTCATGATCCAGGTCTCCTACAACCTCCCTCCCTTCTCTCTCTTGCCTTGCGCTGTTCGGTGCTCTTCTTTCCCCTCCATGTCTCTTGAGACGACTTTCCATCACCTCCACTCTCCTGTCTTTCGTCCTCCCACCCTCCTCTCCCCTGTAGGATCTAACGTCATAGCAGCTCCTTGACCTGGAAGCTGACCTGCGGAAGAGAAACATTCTCCCTGACAAGGCCGAGGACGACAACTCCTTCTACCTCACTGGGCCAGGCAGCTACAAGATGGCGCCTGCCACCTCCTTCCCCTCCTCCCCTCAGACCCCGAGCATGGGATACGCATTTCCTCCTC